TTTAACTTAATGAAATTTCCCTTAATTGTAACTAGGGGTGTTCATGGTTTGGATAAAAATTGATCCAAACAAAAAGATCAAATCAAATCGATTAAATGAACCGATTTAATTTGGGTTTTGGTTTGGTTTTAGATTGTTAAGAACCGATAGTCATTGGTTTGGTTATGATTTCGTTTGAAAAAAATCGAAGAAATAATCGAACCGAACCAACAAGTTATATACATGAATTTTATTATTATACATACATAATATATTATATTCATAAACAATTTTAAACATTTTATATATGTTTCATCAAAATTTATTTATAATTTACTTATGAAAGAAAAAATGTCCAAGGTGAGAACATTTTTCTTATTGGTTTCATGTATATGAGTGTCTATGGAAATTCATTGTGGGACTGAAAATGTCATTGTCTTTTCCTTTTATGCCAAAATAGTGAATTTTGAAGTTTTATTCAGTAAATTCAATGATCCAAAGTTATGTAATGTCAGTCAGTCTAACTATTTTTTCGTTTGAATGGATTGTTGTCATTTTTTCATGTTTTGAATGAATTGTTTCTTTTATTTTTATGTATGGTTAATAACCGAATAACCGAACCAAACCAAACCAAACCAAAACCGAAAACAACCAAACCGATAAATGTATATTATATTTGATTTGGTTTGGTTTTGATAATTTTAAAACCGATTAAGTTGGTTTGGTTTTGATTTTGACCAATAACCGACTCAAATCAACCCGTGAACACCCCTAAATGTAACTTACTTAATAGACAATTTAATATTGTAATGATTAATGAGTAAAAAATTCACATTCCCATTACCCAACCCAATAGGGGGAGGGGGAGGGGGAGTAAGAGAGTGAACTCATCATTAACAAAGGAATTTTCTCAAAAACTTAGGTATGTAAAACAAAAATAGGGTGTATTTCACTCATATTGCATTATTAGAGATATATTTAAGTTCAGTTAGTTAAAATTGTTATCCAATCAAATTAATAATTTATATCAAATTTAGGGATGTTTTTAATAATTTCTCTCTTTTCAAAATAAGTAGATTTTAAAGGGATTTTTTTACTTTACATAACACTTCAATTCAAATGGTTAATAATGCACGTAAGTACGATAATCAAAGAATACTTTATATATATATATTGATTCTACTCTTGTAATATATTTTATTTATTATATATTGAATATACACCGGCAACAACTACAACTATTCAACTAAGCAGATAAAAAATTTAGCTTATCAACTATCAGCCCTCACCTTGAAACTTTACTCCTGTTTTAATTTGTTTGTTTAGTTACTATTTGGACAATCGAAGAATACTTTTTATCATAATTTTTTCAAATATTTTTCTTGTATTCTGAATTATTAATTAACTATAGCAACTTATAGAATTTTTTATATGATTTTTAGTTTTATAAACTTTATTTCAAAAATGACTGAATTCACACCACAATAAATGAATATGATCCTCGTAGTAGTCTGAATCAAAGCTCATATAAATTGAAACATATGAGATAATTAACTTTTATATCTCTGATTGTAAATGTATGAAATGATAGTTATTTAACTACCAAGTTATTGTGGAAAAATGAAGAGAAAAAAACAATCATCGAATTCTATAAGTCAGTAAGGTTGGTAATGACTAATGATGTAAATAAATATTATACTCCACCAAACAGCACTTTTCCGTTGATTAACTAACTTAAACATGGAATTGAGATCATAATTCTCTCTGTTGAATAAAATAATAGGATGCATCAAATAATCAAACATTTCGAAAGTGACGAATGAATTTGATGAAATTGTGATAAAGTAAACTAACCAACCATTCATGTGATTGGCTTTTATAATGTCCCTACCACTATATACAATTGTGTGACATTCCCTATTTTGATTTGTAACTAACACTAATATTTTCAGTGCATTAATTATTTATGTTACGCAATCTTAGCTAAGCCTCAGATCAGCTGTACCGGTCATGCTCCTTTATTAATTTTCCATGTTAGAGCTATTTTGAATTTGAAAATACGTTTATTTGTCCCTCCAGATCAACTCACGTCATTAATAAAGTCTTAACAGACGCCCATAATATTCCAAATGTTAAATGGGCATAACGTACGTAGCTGGCTAGCGGCCACCGACCTGTTGAACCTTTTTTCACTTTTGCATCTTTTTCCTATCTCGGTTTTAACTTTTAATTTTGCTCTAAGAAAAGCATTTCACTGATTAGTGGGTTCTTTCTTTTCTATCCAAAAAAAAGAAAAAAAAAAAAAGAAGAGAGAATGAACTTTTGAAAACTTTAAAATACAACACGGTTACACACACACAAACATATATACACACAATTGCCACAAACAGCAAGGAGGTCTACTTTCGGCAGGTTCATCGGAATCCCTTCGATATTATTTATACATGACTAAAATTATTTTTTATGTATATATTAATGTTAACTTTTTTGTGTGTTTGTTTGTTCATATTTTGAATCTGTTGGTAATAATTTTGACTCCATCACTGGCAAATTAAAGTGAAGTAACCACAAAAAGGCACCTAGCTATCTACGCAACAACATCTGAATTATGCAAGAGATTGGGTAAAGTATGAGAAATCATATGCTTGATTAAAGTTTGGGATCAAAAGATTATAAAGAATTAAATGCCTCCTACCCCACCCACTTCCCCTTCAACCATGAAATGAAGCATATATATAAAGCTCATGAAGGAGGACAAACAAACAGTTTAAGTGCCACAAGAAAATTAATGCATTGTCCTAATAAACAAGTGTTTTTGTCTCTATAATAAGTTGTGTAGTATTTACATTGCAAAAAGGATATTTAATTAGGCAGTCAAAATTAGTCAATGTCATACTAGATTCTTTCTACTATTAATTAGCCCTTTAAAATAAAAATAATTACTAAAAGACTATACAGAATAGATATACAGAATGAGGTTGGGATTATTTTTTTTAGCTGGTAGTTGTTGTATGGATATAATTGAATGTTTAGTCATTATATTATATTAAGATATACACACTACGATAAAAATCATTTTTAACAGTAATTAATAAGCATGCATATTTATAACGAGTGCTGTCTTATTGGATCTGTCAGACTTGGACATTTTATATAAAAAAAATAAAAATTAGTAGCCTCTAAGAACCATATTTAACAGTAAATCATTTATTGGCATTAATTAAATGGTGTGGTGTAATTTCACAAGAGATATATCACATATAATCAGAAAAATGAACGGTATCAGAATCTCAAAAAAGAGAGGCTAAAAAGGAATCTAAAAGGTAACAACTTCGAAAAAAGAATACCAACTAAAGTACTTCATCCGGTCTTATCTGTGTTGCTTAATAAAAATACAAATATTATTTTAATATTTTATAATATAATTAATTAGTACTCTATTAATTTTTCTTTTAATCTTAATAAATATGAAGACAAATTAATATAATAATTTTAAAAAGGTAGTATTAAATTAAAAACAAAAAAAGAATAAAATGTAATGAAATTATTCTTTTAACAACCTCAAGAGAAAAATATGAAAAGTAAAATGAACCATGACGAAAGTATTCTCCCTTTTCCCTAACGAGTCACGAATTTTCAAAGTGTTTAAATTTTAGTATGATTCAAATATTTCTTTTAGAAATAAAATGTACTACAATAAAAGTATAGTAGGAGTATGTTTTTTTAATACATCGGAAATAGCACTAAAGTGACATTGCTATAAAACTATAACAACATTATGGAAATTGCAGGTAAACAATTTAATTTTTTACTTTTTGCTTACTCAAACAATTATTACTATGTCATAAGAGTAGTAAAGAGCAATAAGAATGTCAACTCCTTGAAGGCTTGAATACTGAACTTGCCCTTCTATAGAGAAAAAAACAAAAAATGTTGTATATCGTTGGAGGAATTCAATCAATTACTCATTGTACTTTGTCAAGTACATTCTATTTTTGTTACTCCTTGTAATTTGCACTGGACATCAACAATTGATGTTAGTAGTGCGAGACTTCTTCTACTGTATTAAAATATAAATTTTAAATCATATATTTTGGATTTAGAAATTTCAAATCCATCTTTTTTTGTTAAACAACTAGCATCAGTTATGTGGATCACATTATAAATTATTACTTGTTGCTCTTACTTTTAAAGGCCTTTTTAAAAAAATCATTCTTGAGATAAGTAGGCATGGGTATTACATAATTATAGTATTATTTAAAAAAAAAAAAAGGTAATGCAATCTTAACTGTATTTGATCCCACTTCTCCATCCTCAAAAGTCATAATAATCTAGTCGCTAAAAGTTCATTACCAATAATTATACTTTCTAAATCAACCAATGCCATTTTTCCTCTGTTATTTAAACTTTAATGTGAATTTTAAACTCCATAAACCACTAAACCAACCTAATCTTATATTCTGAAGATTTAAAATTTATGCATATACATAAAAAAAATTGGCCAAAAATTTAGAAGTTGCCAAATATATTTATCAAGGAGATTTGGATGAACGCCTCCGTGGCGGAGCCAGGATTTTTAATAAGGGGTTCAAAATCTGAGAAGTAAACACACGAACTAGTGGAAGGGGGTTCGACATCTATTATACATATCTAAAAAATAATTTTAACCATGTATAAATAGTAATATTTTTCACCGAAGGTCCCTGAAGCATATGCTACCTCCACCTACGCCCCAACTATATCAAATGAAGTAACTGAACGCCACTAGAAATATTCTTCCAAAGAAAAAGCAATAAAGTATACTACAATTTGGTATTCGTCATTCTTAGCACTAACGTAATCTATGAATGGACAAAGAAAATAAATGTTTAAAGCTTGCTCGAAATTTTAAATTAAGAACGAAGAAATCACATACGAAATTCTACTGTTCAAGTGTGAGTTTGCTCCTTTCACTAATTAATCACTACATATAGTCGAAGCCAGCTAATTCTCTTCTCCTTTAAGACATCGACTTCACACCAACCACTAAATTCTTCTTCTTAATTAGCAATACTCACCGCCCAATATATACTCACAAAATTCCACCACTCTTCCTCACACTCTTTCACTCACTAACTTTCATTTTGTTCACATATTTTGTAATTCATAAAAATGGGCTATGGCCGATTAGGTAAACCGGATCCCGGAGAAACCTCCGGCAGGGTGATAATTCCCAATCCTAATCCCCGGAGCTCTAAGATTAAAATCATGTTAATTTCTGCCACTGTACTTTTAATTGCTTCCGCAATTTCCGTTGCAGTTTTGATCGGAGTTCGGCATAAGGCCGGAAATAGAATTGATAAACCAAGTCAAGCAATGGCGCGTACCTGTAGTCGTACTCTGTATCCATCTCTCTGTCTCAATTCGCTGATTAATTATCCTGGAGCTAACTCTGCTTCTGACAGTGACCTCGTTCACATTTCCGTCAATTTAACTCTGCAGCGATTTGGTAAAGGACTTTACAAAGCTTCCGATATCAACAACCTCCAAATGAACACTCAAATTAGATCGGCATACGACGATTGCCTTGAATTGTTGGAAGAATCAGTCGATCTTCTCTCACACTCGTTAAACTCTGTTTTCTCCGGCGACGGAGATTCGCCGACGGGATCTACACATGACGTGATGACGTGGCTCAGCGCAGCTCTCACGAATCACGACACGTGTACAGACGGATTCGCCAACGTCACCGGGAATGTGAAGGATCATATATCGGAGAACCTCAAGGACTTATCTGAATTGGTGAGTAATGCTCTCGCTATTTACGCCGCCGCGAATGGCGACGATGATTTCTCCGTGATTCCGATACAGAATCGCCGGCGTAGATTGATGGAATTTGAAACACATCATGATGAATTTCCAAAATGGATGTCTCGGAGGGATAGAAAATTGATGAATAAATCAGTGTCGGCAATTCAAGCAGACATAATTGTGGCTAAGGACGGTAGCGGAACGGTGAAGACGATAGCTGAGGCGATAAAAAAGGTGCCGGAAAAGAGTAATCACCGGACCATAATTTACGTGAAGGCGGGAAGGTAAAATGCAAATTGTATCCTTTTTGGGACAAGTAGTTGGAAAAGTAAAAAACTTTTTGATTCACTTTTTGGTAACGTATCTGATCCCCTTTCCAATCTTTTTTTAAAAATTTATTTTCACTTACGTGGCAGAGTAAACTTTTTCTTCATTTTTTTTTGTCGTAGTCATTAAGCATTTGACTTCATATTGTTTTTAATCATTTTATTATTATTAATTATATAATAAATAAATGACAGGTATGAAGAAAATAATTTGAAAGTAGGGAGGAAGAAAATGAACGTGATGTTCATAGGGGACGGGAAGGGGAAGACGGTGATTACGGGAGGAAAAAGTGTATCTCAGCACATAACAACATTCCATACTGCCTCCTTTGGTAAAATTTTCACTCCTCCATGTTTCGTCTATTTTATTAGTCATATTTTTATGCACATATTTTAATTTAGGGCAAATTACAGAAATCACATACTTTTAAGGCAAAATTATAATTTATCCCTTAAAAGTTTATAATTACAGAAATCCCTTAAACGGATATAATAATATAAGCGCTGATACATTAATTTGATGCACGAGATACATTAGGATGTGCCACCATGCCCGATGGGCAAGAAGCTAGGGCAGTTAAGGAGGGTTATATTGGGTGATCGTATTAATCGTTAAGTAAGATACATTACATTTTATACATGATATACTAATCTGATGTACATTTTATACATGATACACTAATCTGATGCGCGAGATACAATAATACAAGTGCTGATACATTAATCTGATGCGCGAAAATGAGGGATTTTGGAAATTTGTAAAACTTACAAGGGATAATGGTATTAAGTAAACTAAAAGGTGAAATTTTTGTAATTTTTCCTATAGTTGATGGAGAGAATATTTGGATCAATCACTTTTAATACGCAAGGCAGGTAAAATGGACCCGATAGTACATCTTATATTTATGGCTTAATACATAGTCAACCTAACTTCTTAAATAGTCAGAATATTTCATCTTAGATATATCAACTAAAATCTTGTTTCAATTGAACATTTCAAAAAATTATCTTAATAAAGAGTATTCTAATTTGGAAACGGTAGTTATGGGCTATAGTGGCGGCTATGCAGAGCATGTGGTAGAAAACGCCCGTGGATATGATGTCAATGAATTTCTTATAACTACTAAATCCTAATCCTAATGAAGTCCTCTATAGCTTAGCCCTTTGCACTTCTTTCGTCCTTTTGATGTGGTCCACCTCACCCAAAAAGTATTGAGGATTTGCACCTCATGAGTTGAAATTTTACATGTTCCATCTAATTTATTGCATTCAAATTTTCAAAGCCTATCAAGGATAGCGATTATGACCTAACTAAATTTGGTGGCCACAATTTAAAGAGGGAATATTGCTATTGTAGTAGGAGCAAGTGGAGTCATGACTATTGTCCATGTCCTTTGATTCATCTCTTATGCTCACCTTTGTGTTTAACTTAGTTATTTTGTACACTTCTAACATCTCCCATAGAGATAGAATATATGTTTGGTGACGAACATGGGGTCGAAAAAAAGGAAAGAGAGGGATGGAGTTTCTCTTGCTTTTGGTATAGTGGGCCCATGGTTAGAGGCTCGCACAACAGGATATTAGCTTAGTGATACAACACACCCTTGATAATTGTGTCGTTCTGCTTGGGTTGTGAGGGCCCCTTGGGACTATCCTATACCGGAAAAAGACGTAGAAAATGGAACAAATACTTATTATACTGTGTTTCGGTTACCGCACTATTTTGTTGGTTCACTGTGTTAGTTGCTATGTTTTCTATATTGTTTTCTTCTTCTTTGTACTTGGATTTGTTGCACTTGAACTATGGGTCTTTCGGAAACAATCTCTCTACCTCCACTAGATAGTGGTAAAACCTGCGTACACATTACCCTCTCCAGACCCCACTTGTGTGATTTCAGTGGGTATGTTGTTGTAGTAATTTCTTAGAAATTTATTAATGAACATGCAGCTGCAACTGGAGCTGGTTTTATTGCAAGGGATATGACATTTGAGAACTATGCTGGACCAAACAATCATCAAGCAGTAGCCCTCCGTATCGGAGGTGATCACGCCGTGGTCTTCCGCTGCAATGTTATTGGATACCAAGACACCCTCTACGTGCATTCACAGCGTCAATTCTATCGCGAGTGTGATATCTATGGGACAGTAGATTTCATTTTTGGAAATGCAGCAGTGGTCCTCCAAAACTGTAACATCTATGCTCGAAAGCCGATGGCTAATCAAAAGAACACCATCACAGCCCAAAACAGGAAAGACCCTAACCAAAACACTGGCATTTCAATCCATGCTTGCCAAATCATGGCAACACCTGATCTCGCGGCATCCAAAGGAAGCTTCTCTACATATCTAGGCCGACCATGGAAGATGTATTCGCGAACAGTTTACATGTTATCTAACATGGGTGATCATATACACCCACATGGTTGGCTTGAGTGGAATGGTGATTTCGCGCTTAACACATTATATTATGGTGAATACATGAACTTTGGGCCAGGAGCAGCAGTAGGGCAACGCGTTACTTGGCCAGGGTATCGGGTGATTAAGTCTGTCGAAGAGGCCAGCAAGTTCACTGTATCAAAGTTTATTTATGGATCATCTTGGTTGCCTTCAACTGGGGTGTCTTTCTTGGCAGGGCTAAGTACTTAAAAGGAAGGTATAAATATCAGATTTATGGTTTTTGCAGTTGGTATATAAATAAGTATGTACCATTATTATTTAATTCCAAAGTGCAATAATTTATAAGCCGTTAAGTTGCAATTTTGCTTTATTGGTGAACTGACTAAAGAGCAAGTCTGCAACATTCTAGAGATACCTCTTCATTAAATGATAAATGTTGTAATTTCCTTTTTGTTGTAATTAGAACATACTAGCAAAAAACTATTGGTTCAATTGAAAAAGTGTCAGTTTTACATTACATTCAATTGATTGAGTTTCAAATTGATGGTGACTTTTGTAGATGTGTATCCCCTTTAATAAATGCAAGGCTCCCATTCATGCCCCTCTCCTCTCAGGTATGGAATCCTCTTTGGTACTGAGATGTTTTACCCAAAGTGAGACTTTTCGATAGTCGGACCCCAAAGCAAGCACCGAAAAAGGGTGGAAAACCTGAACAATCATATGCACTTGGACTTGTGCAGAAGTTAGTAGCTAGCTAGAAACTTAGTAAAAAGGTCTCCTATCAATGTGATGCTGACAGAAGAACAAAACCAACTTATGGTGTTAGTGCTCTCTAGCTTTACTGAAATTTAAAGTAAACACGTAAGAATGTCAAGGGTCCCAAGGCATAGAATAAAGGTAGAGTTGTGGAGATTGATTCGTTTGGTAACTTAGGCAACTAAGGATCAGAAATGGATGATTTGAAATCCGTTGAATTCAGACCAACAAAAACATTCTTACGTAATCCCACAAATGAAATCTGGAGAGATTAAGATATACACATACCTTATCCCCCCGTATGTGAATAAATTGGTCAAATGACAGCTGTAGTCTCTGAAGTAAATGCTCAATACTAGTTGAAGCCCTTCTCTAGTTTTCTGCTCCTTAAATTAGCTTCAAAGCTGAAATGGACCAGTCGTCTGGCACGGCAATTAGGAGAAGGAGAAGAATTGGTGCGTTACAAATAACTTCCAACCCATGATGTCAAAATTTATTCATCATATCATGAGTGGTGGAGGGGCCACCAAGTTCAATTCCCTATGTGGATAGTCATGAGGCCAACAAAGCTATAACAGGTAGGATATATTTATCAAGTCATATTTCCACAATAACAAAAACTAAATATTTCAAGTTAAGAGGCCCTACAAACACCACATTCACATCCTACCTTCCCCAGATTTAGTTTCAACCAGGTAACTATTTATATATGCACAAAATTTACATCTTCATACACATTTACTTAATCAGGTCACCAAGGCGTCGATCCATGATGACCGAAACAGACTGCAAGAATGCTGCCTCACTTGTTCCTGGGAGCACACTCTCTTCAGCTTCTTCAACAATCTGCTCAATGATAGACTCCTTCTTCAGTGTTTCCCTGCACATGATTCCTCCAATTGCAGAAGGGGTGAGACCTCTCTCTGCACCTTTCTTCAGAAGCATAGTAGAGATGCGAAGTACACGTGCACAAGCAAGGGACATGGTCCAACCATGAAACTTCAGAAGCTCAATGTCTTTCTCGGCATCAAGAGCGTTTATGTATGCAATTGTCTCAGCAGAGTAAGGTTGTTGTGCTTGAGGCCAGTAGAGCCAATCAAAAGTACAATCTTCAAACTGTATTAGAAAAAGGGGAAATTAGAGGATGGGATGGGGTAAAAAATGAGTGGGGAACCGTAACTGGAAAAGAAAAATCAGGGCACGGAGAAGTAGTCTTGATTAATGCAATCACATTCCACAAATTGACAGATAATACATGAAGCATACGATGAAAGACTGAATCAACATCTAGTGTACCATGATCTAGAGTGAATGAGCAAAAAATGATGCATACCAGGGAATACTCTCTTAACCTATATCATACTCCTCATAAAACATATATTCTTCTAAAACTGATCATAGAAAATATATGCATCACCATAGAAGTCATAAAAAGGCCTGAAATAGACCCAGTAAAGGGAATCAGAAGAGAAGTTAATTAATACTCATATCATCTTAGGATATGCCATCTAAGATTACTACGTGCTTCTATAGTTCTATTTGGTGAATATTGGATGCTGAGTTGAGACACTTACATTTTCAGGCAAGCAGTAGCCATGATCAATTGGTATAAGCACAAGCTGACCATCCTTATCATCTTTCTGAACCAAAATGTTTCCAGCATGCCTATCTGCATTAGCCAACCTTATGTCCAGCACCGAAATCCTGTGTACATCATCAACAGGAAAAGCACGAGGACCAAAATCCTCACAACTTCCACAGTTCTTCCTGAACATCTGCAGCGACCCAATCTTAAGACTCTTGGATGAATATTCACAGCCTTCAGCATGATTGAAACCAGTATGGAAACACTTGACCATAACTGTGGGAGGAACCCCAGCAAATCCCTTCTCATCACAACAAGTTGAGCGAGGTCCCGACTTGGGATGATCCAAAATATATGCAGCAACCTCCCTAAATGCCCCCTCTCCTACACGTGTGCCCTTCTTCAACCCCTCACCATCTACAGACAATGGAAGCCCCCGGGGATTATTCACAGCCATAGGCTCCTCATCTGTTGGTTTAAAAACAGATACATAATTCTGAGCACATGAATCTAGCATGAAATAAGCACCCCCTGATCCCTCAGAAGACCTAATTGGTTGGTGACCCCTTGCTATCCCATCAAAAGTGCTACCAATCAGCTGCTTAACCACTGGCGATGGTGTGATCTTAGGATTGACAATCAATGGTTCCAAAAGAAAACTTGGCACAGTATTGAGTCCAACAGCATGAAAACTCTCTTGGAGCTTCTCTACTGCATCAGACCCTTTCTCATTTGATGCTGATGCTACAACTGAAACTTCAAAATCTGTTTTCACGGCTTGAGCCTGTACTTTAGCTGATTTACGCACCAACAAGTGAATCACTGCATCGTTGCTTTTACAAATATCATTTATCAGCCTCTTATCTTCTAGTTCCACACCATCAAGTATTAGTTCCTGTTCCCTGAGATCACGAAAATCTCTCCCCTTCTTTGCAATCTGCTGTTTGACATAACCAACATTTCTCTTTCTATCGACATGGAACTCAAACTCCTGACCACACACTGTCCTAACAGTAATAGCTTGTAAATCAGACAGACGAAGAACCAAATGCAAAATGTTACCATCAGCAACCCCATAGTCCCCCACACGGGAATTGTTCCGAGCCAACTCCTTTCCATCAAAGACAAGCTTCTGCTTCTTCACAAAGAAACCTTTGAATGTCTGGATTTTAGATTTCACAGAAGCAATAGAATCGGACTCCTTAACACGCAAGGGAATTACAGACCCACCTACGGTCAAAAAAATCAAGATTGAATCATTGGACCAGGAACCGTATTGGCCTGCCAAACAGCTTGCTAAGTTCAAATGATCTTCATGGACTGGACTAAGCGCAACAGTAGCAATAGACATTGTTCCCTAAAGGTAAGGGCTTCTTTCCCTACAAATCAAATTTACTCATTAGAGTTAGTATATGATAAATAATAATTGTGACGCATCATACCTGATTAACCCATCAACAATTGGAAAAGCCACAAATAACAATAATTTAAAATGCTAAGAGACCTTGGAAACTCACAAGTTGCAGCTAAAATCAACACTACAGTTAGAGATTGAAACAAATATGCTCTCAATGGCCAAGAATTGGGAATAACAAAAGGAGAAACGTGGAATTTAAGGCACTGCAGCAAAATCCCAAGTGTCAACAGCAAACCAGCACTAGAACTAAGGTCTAAGTCAAAACCAAGTCAGACCTCAGCTCACCAACTTTTAGCATTTTCACAAACATCACCATGATAACATCAACTATTTATTCAAGAGATGAGGACTACAAGAAAGAGTGTTTTGGAGTTTCAGCAAGAAAGACACGCTAAACACCTGCAAGACTGGACAATGTGATAGTAAGAACATAAATTTCTTACCAGAAAGAAAATGAATTAACTCTTTCATCCAACAATGTTCAGAATCTAGAAAACTTTATATTTGCTGTTTTCTGATATGGATGCTGTATTCTATGGTTTTCAGTTTCCCAGTTATGAGCTGTGTTTATGAGAAACTCATTTGGATCAATGAGAAGGATTTCCTTTTCTTCTTCCTTTTTTAAAAATTTGTTACATAGGGTCTAGGGTTTTAGTTTTAGGCCTAGACTTGAAGGTTAAAATGGTGAAAGGAGGTCTAGTTGGTATGGTAGAATCATGAAGTTTCTATCAGTTCATCTATCAGATTGCTGCAATTTCAACTTATTTATTGAGAAATGTCATTCTCTAACAAATCAACTGTTGGTATAGAGTTCATTTGTAGTCAACAAAATCAGATCTAAAAGCTCTGCATTCCCATATCGGATGGATGTCGAGATACTGATTTTATTCGCCTATGGTTCTTTTCATGATCCCCTTGGCTACTATTTGGCTTCCATTACTCATTGTTGCTGGACATTTGCTACATTTCTTTTATATTCAGGAGAACTAGTTAATATGTTACCACAAATAAAATTTTACTCATCAGATTAAGCACATGATTAATTATCTCAAACAGTCATGTTGATAATCAGTCAACAAAACCACAATAATACATCATATTGAAAAACCAAAACTTTAGTATAAAAATTGTTCCTCAAATTAATAGCAGCAACTATAGATTTCAAACAAATACACCATGAATAGCCAAGAATTAGGCACAGCAGAGCAGAGACATGGAACTACAGGTAAATTTTTAGCAAAACCCCAAGTGTAAGTAGTAAACCAGCAAAATAACTAAGGTTTAATTGAGACCGAATTCAGTCACCATCAACTCACAAACTCTTTTCCGGAAACCCCACCAAGATAACATCAACTACTCAATTATTATATCTAGTAGCAAAAATCAATTCACTAGATATACCAATATAGACATCAACAAACGTTCTCAACAAAACCTATTAATTAAATCAACAACAATAATTCAATCTTATCAGTTCAAATATTCGAACATAGAGATGCTTGTATAAACAAATACTTTACATAGAACGATTATTACATGTAAGCTAGTAATTACGTATAACCATATAATCACACCACATAATAATGCATACTTACACTCAAAAGGAAAAACTCAATACCTTGGAAAAATTTTAATGATAATTCGTACGTACATCAAATTCAATAACTTGGAAAAAAATTTGAATGATAATTTTTGTGACATTGTTAAATTAATATATGTCTTTATTAATTTTAGAATTTAACAGTCAAAGTAATCATTA